CAGAACACAAAAGCACTGTGGGAGGCATTCCCCCATCAAAACTAAATGTGTTGGGGGAATCAGGATTTTCTTCTTTGGTGAAAGGAACGAAAATCAAGTCAAATATGGTCTGCTGAACTGAACCAGAAAATACAATAAGCACCAAACTAGATAGATAGATAGATTATAGGGGATAGATAGATAGATAGATAGATAGATTATAGATAGATAGATAGATAGATAGATAGATAGATAGATTATAGGGGATAGATAGAAAGATAGATAGATAGATTATAGGGGATAGATAGATAGATAGATAGATAGATAGATAGATAGATAGATAGATAGATTATAGGGGATAGATAGATAGATAGATAGATAGATAGATAGATAGATAGATAGATAGATAGATAGATAGATAGATAACCCTTTGTTGCTGAAAAAATCATGTACTGGATAAACTTTGCACCAGATCACATCCTTTGTTTCAGTAACAAAGACCTAAAAGCTTTTTCTCTGGAATGTAGGCATAAAGGGTCTGGATGCTGGAATTAAAATTAAATTAAATTATGTCAAATTTTTTTAGTGTTTCACTTATGCCATTACATCCAAGTGATGCAAATGCACTACAAGAATGCCCTAACATATGTAACTGATTAAGCAGCTCAGCTAAAAAAAATATGAAAGAAATGTCATAGGACATTCACAAACAATGGAAACAGTAGACTTCATCCTTGGTATTATGTAAGATATTACATACGTTAAAGGCTGTTTAGGGTGTCTAGTACTGGACAGCCAGCAATCTCTGCATGTTGCACGTATATGGGAGCAAGCAGAAGCAAAGAGGAACATGGATTGCACAGGGTAGAAAACCCATCCTGATCAACTTTCTCTACCTGTGATAGTCAGCTCTTGCAGCTTCTGGATGCCCTGCCCCCCCTGCCCCCTTGCACCCCTGCCGCACTGCCCCTATCTATTATCTGCATTCACATGGATTACAAGGCTAAATATGGATGTAACATGTTCATAAGCTGAATTTAGTCTTTACAGTCATGCCTAGGGTATAAATAGCATTTCCTGTTCCAAAGCAGACAACACCATAATGCATTGCCCTAAACAGAAAGACCCAAAGGCCACCCTCTCCCGTTCTATGGAATTGCCCAAGCATTCAAAAATGATGGGACCAAGTAATATGTTATATCGGCAAGTTAACTAATAAAAGACTCCCAGCAGACCATTCAATGCTGCATTCTAGCTAGTCTGGAAAGATTGGTGCATTAAAGTGTAACCCCGGTATAAACAAAAATTCAAGATCCATGTGTATTCTTCCTTGAATCTCAGTGTGCTTTGTGTATTTCTTACAGATCTGCGCAGTAATCCAATGTAATACTTTGCCTCTTTACAGAAGCTTCTTGTAATAAAGACCGGTCACTGCTGCTCTCTCTTCTTGTGCAGAGTGACTGGTCTTGTCTCCGCCCCCTCCTGTAGTTTTCTGCAGGCAACCTATAGTGGACATGGCTTGATGGGCCCCTCCCACCGCTCTGCTCTCTGCAAAGGCTATGTACAGCCCAGTGATGATGTTACTGCTAATTTCATAAGATAAAAACTGGGCTTCCAAAAAGCAATGGGCGCACATAAAGTGGATTTATATCCTTTGTGACTATTGAGGAATTTATTTCCTCAGCTTTAAAAAATATGTAAACCCAATAATGTGCCTGCTGTACCATGTACTTGTATGAAAAAGTCTCCTGTTCTCTTTGTATTGCATCGTTTGTGTGAAATCCCTGCTGTTCCTGCCAGTCCCTCTGCTTTCCTATTAAAAAATAACCATATTAGACATCAGAGCACAGCATGGTCAGTTTTTTAGATGTCACTTGGAAGACTAGTGTGCTGTTTCTCCTCCCCCAACTCTCTGAGCTCCTTATGCAGCTGAGAACAGAGGTTATGTTTTCACTTATAAAAAAGGGGGAAATGTACTTAGAATGTTTTTATATCTATGCACAAATGTTTTGCCTTTCATTTCTATTTTAAACTGAATGGGTTGTTTTACAAGGTGAGAGTTCACATACAGGGGCGGACTGCTGGCTGATGGAGGGTCTATCGATGCTGGCTGCTGGAGGGTCTATTTTTGCTGGCTGCTGGAGGGTCTATTGACGCTGCCTGCTGGGAGATCTGTTGTTGCTGGGGTGGTATTTTGTTGAGCCATCATTGCAGGGGGGTTCATAATTGTGAGGGATCTATTGTTGCTGTGGGTCTAATGGTCCTGAGGGAGGGTCTATTGTTCAACTGCTTAGTGTATTTATATCTCCTTGTCTTTCTGAGATTACCTGTTTGTTTGGTGTCCTGCTCAGCCAAACCTTGATGCTGTTTCAGGGATTGGTTGACCGTCACCTTGGATTTGCTGTTTACCTTTTTCAGCACAGAAATCTGCTGTGTTAAATCAGAGCTCCAGTCTCTTGTGGAAAACGTGTAGCTGCTGAATTTTAAAAAACAGCCACGCACCTGTCCTAGGATCCAGCGGTGTCCTCACCAAAGCTGGGTTCACCGGCCGTCCTGTATGCATTGTGCCAGCATCTTAAGTGTGGGCACCCAGTGTGCATGTGCGAGCAGTGCTGCGCATTGTGAATGGTCCAATGGTCCTCTGGGACCTGTCACATGTCCCAGAAGACTGCACTGGGGGAGGAGAACTTACGCTTCCAATCTCCTAGGCAAGGAATCTCCAAACTTTTAAAACAAAGGGACAATTTACTGCCTTTCAAACTTTACGGGGAGCCAGATTGTGGCCAGTGGGAGTAAAAAATGCCCTTGCCTCAGTGGGAGTAAACAATACCCTAGGCTTGGTGGTCAGTGGGAGGAACAGTGCCCCGCCTTTGGTGTCAGTGGCATAATTAGTACCCCATTTCTGGTATCAATGGGAGGAAGAGTGCCCCATCGCTGGTGTCAGTGTGGAGGAACAGTGTTTTGTCATTGGGGGTCAGTGAGAGGAACAGTACCCCATTTTTGGTATCAGTGGGAGGAATAGCGCCCAATCGTTGATGTCAGTGGGAGGAATAGTGCCCCAATCGTTGGTGTCAGTGGGAGGAATAGCGCGCAATCATTGGTGTCAGTGGGAGGAATAGCACCCCATCGTAGGTGTCAGTGGGAGGAATAGCGCCCCATTGTTGGTGTCAGTGTAAGAAATAGCGCCACATTGTTGGTGTCAGTGGGAGGAATAGTGCCCAATCATTGGTGTCAATGGGAGGAACAGCGCCCAATCATTGGTGTCAGTGGGAGGAACAGCGCTCAATCATTGGTGTCAGTGGGAGGAATAGTGTCCCATCATTGGTGTCAGTGGGAGGAATAGCGCCCAATCGTTGGTGTCAGTGGGAGGAATAGCGCCCCAATGTTGGTGTCAGTGGGAGGAATAGTGCCCCATTGTTGGTGTCGGTGGGAGAAATAGCGCCCCATCGTTGGTGTCAATGGAAGGAATTGTGCTTCATATCAGTGCCCCCAGGGCTGGAAAAAGCAAGTAAAGGGCCACATCTGGACCACGGGCCATAATTTTTAGACCCCTGTCCTAGGCGATCGCAATGGAAATGGCAGTGGGTACCTGTCAAAGTGAAGTACCTGTTCCCCAAAGTTATCAATCTTTAATGAGGAGAAGAAGATGAGGCCTTAAAGCAGAATTTGCCCTTTTGTGTTGAGCTCTGCTTTAAGTTTACATTGTGTCTGTGAATCATTTAAAGGGGTACACAAAATGTCAGAACCTAGAGTGTAGAAGGGCTGTGAAGTTCCCAAGGTCAAGGAAGCACGGGAGGACAGACATCATCCAGCTGCCCTTAGCTTGGCAGCGCTACACACAAAGAGGTAGTCTGTTAAAATCCCGTTTTCAGTAATGCTCCCCACACAAGAATCATGACCAAATGCTGAATTCCTCTTAGCTCTGCCAGTAGAATGTACCGATATATTATCAATAGGCTTTGAGCATTGATGATACAATCTCAGAAACAGTGTAATGATAACATCTTCCTTTCAATAAGAGCTAAAGACAAAAAATAACAAAACATTTGGTAGTGCTAATAATTCTAGTGTGTTCACTGGGCCACCTAAGGCTGGTTTCACACTACCAGTAAAATGCATATTGTATTACACATTATTTATTATACATTATTATTATTCAGGATTTATATAGCGCCAACAGTTTGCTCAGCGCTTTACAAAATGAAGGTAGACATTACAGTTACAATACAATTTGGTACAAGAGGAAACAGAGGGCATGGCTCATTAGAGCTTACAATCTAGGAGGAAGGGATGAGTGATACAAAAGGTAATAGTTGTGGGGTATGAGCTGATGGAGGAAATAAATGGCGGTTTACTAGGTAGAAGCAGGTAGGCTTCTTTAAAGAGAAGGGTTTTCAGGGATCGTCTAAAGGTGGATAGATTAGGAGATAGCCAGACAGATTGGGGTAGGGAGTTCCAAAGGATGGGAGAAGCTCGGGAGAAGTCCTGGAAGCGAGCATGGGAGGAGGTGACACGGGAACTAGAGAGCAGAAGGTCTGGGGAGGATCGAAGAGAGTGGTTTGGTTGATATTTTCAGACCAGGTTGCTGGGGGCAGACTTGTAGATGGCCTTGTAAGTTGTTGTTAGTATTTTGACATTTATTCATTGGGCGAGTGGAAGCCAGTGGATGGATTGGCAGAGAAGGGTGGAGGACACTGAGTGGAAGCCAGTGGAGGGATTGGCAGAGAAGGGTGGAGGACACTGAGTGGAAGCTAGTGGAGGGATTGGCAGAGAAGGGTGGAGGACACTGAGTGGAAGCCAGTGGAGGGATTGGCAGAGAAGGGTGGAGGACATTGAGTGGAAGCCAGTGGAGGGATTGGCAGAGAGGGGTGGAGGACACTGAGTGGAAGCCAGTGGAGGGATTGGCAGAGAGGGGGGGAGGACACTGAGTGGAAGCCAGTGGAGGGATTGGCAGAGAAGGGTGGAGGACACTGAGTGGAAGCCAGTGGAGGGATTGGCAGAGAGGGGGGTGGAGGACACTGAGTGGAGGCCAGTGGAGGGATTGGCAGAGAGGGATGGAGGACACTGAGTGGAAGCCAGTGGAGGGATTGGCAGAGAGGGGTGGAGGACACTGAGTGGAAGCCAGTGGAGTGGAGGGATTGGCAGAGAAGGGTGGAGGACACTGAGTGGAAGCCAGTGGAGGGATTGGCAGAGAGGGGTGGAGGACACTGAGTGGAAGCCAGTGGAGGGATTGGCAGAGAAGGGTGGAGGACACTGAGTGGAAGCCAGTGGAGGGATTGGCAGAGAGGGGTGGAGGACACTGAGTGGAGGCCAGTGGAGGGATTGGCAGAGAGGGATGGAGGACACTGCGTGGAAGCCAGTGGAGGGATTGGCAGAGATGTGTAGCAGACACTGAACGGCTAGTAAGGTGGATGAGCCTGGCAGCAGTATTCACAATCTTTGGCAGTGCATTTGGGTGCATTCATTTAGAATGGACGCTAAACGCCAAGTGCAGCTGTTGCTGATGGAGTGAATTGTAGTAAAGCATACTGTGCTGGCCGTTGTGATTTCATACGTTTAAAAAAAAAAGGGGGAAGGTCTGGTTTTCCTTCCATTTTTCCTTCTAAATAAATGGGCTGCCTAAACATAACACCTCAATGGATCAAGATAACATGGGGGGGGCCTCAAAGTTTTCCCAGAAGAATAAAGTCATAGCTGGTTATTAAATCTCTTTTGCCGTTGCCCCACCATCCACAAATTCTACAGTGAGTCAAGTAATAGCATTTGTCTCCTGATGTGTAAATCAGAATTAAGTGCTTTGCATAGTATACTGGTGTCTACTTAACATTATCTTCCCTCTTCCGTCAGGCTAAGTACACTCTCAGCAAAGACGGCACCTCCTCACAAAGGCTGTGCTCCAGGGCAATCCCCCCCAGATACATCTGTTCTCTGTCTACTGTCAGGGGAGCCTCAGAAATACAGCAGAGATTAGCATGGATGAAATTGGTGATTCATTAACCCTTGTTAACAATAAGAAACTATTATGGGTTATAGTTATGGCTACTTTCTGTATTTACATGTATCTATTTTTACCTATTTTTGCAGCCTGCCAAGATATACGGACGATCCACGGGCCATCTTAAATGAAATATATGAGGAAAAAAAAACAATCTGACTTTTAGAGTGAGTTCCCACCACAATGAAGAGCAGCCGCAATGATTTACCACTCCAGCTGCTCTGCGTTGCCAGCTGCCGTAGGGAGTAGTGTGGTGCGCGATTCAGCGCATCACATGGCTCCCTTTTTTTTTTGCTGTGTATTAAGTTTATTTCAACTGTACAAAACATACGCTTTATTCACTGTCAGACAGCACGCTGGGCTGCACTTCCGATATTGCAGTGCGATTCGGTCAGGTGCGATGCAATAAAATGCAGCATGTCTGATGTTTACTGCAGCACGCTGCAATGCAGTGCTAGGCTGCATTGCAGTGTGAAAGGGACACATAGGAAACAATTGTTACCTGTGTGTCCCTGCCGAGACAGACGTTTTACAATGCAGTAAAACGTCTGTTACCGCATATAGTATGAATTGGCCCTCAATCTTGCTTCTTGGGTGGTGTATTGCAGTGGTGAGCAAGCGGACTGTAGGGCTTTGACACCCTGCTTTTTATGGAAAATTGAGAAGAATACAGGTCAGCCTCTGAGCATTGAAATGGTTCGGGTTCATTTATAGTAATGCATGCCATAGATGGGTCAAAAACCGGCCATTTAAAAAAAAAAAAATGAAAAATCGGTTGTTCAATAGGCCGACATTACCACCAACAGTAAAAAAAAAAAAATCGGCCGATTTTTGTCCCGTCTACGGCCGGCATTTAATTACTTCTGTCCCTGCAGAGAGCTCCACTATTATATTTGACATTAAAAAGTATTGCGGTTGTAACATTGTATCTATTTGTATCCATTTCAGATACAGATGTTTTTATTCGGATACAAATAGATACATTGTTGCAACCGCAATACTTTTTCATGTCAAATATAATAGCGACTGGAATTCTCCTACTTCTTCTTTTTCTTCATCGGCCGATTTGCCCATCATTACCGTGAAGATCGGCAAAATCTGCCGATTTTTTTTTCCAACTTTACCGATTAAAAAAATGTGCCAAAATCCAGAAAAACGGGCCGACCAATTAACCCATTAACGGTGTGAAAATCAGCCGATTTTTTTTTTTTTTTTTCAGACGAAAAATCAGACGATTTTCGACCCATCTATGGCCTGCATAAGTCTGCTAACTTTACAACTCAGTATGCTGACTCTAATCTCGGAATTCAGCATTTTAGGACTCAGGTACACTGCAGCTCCTAAACTGACGTTCAGGAGCTTTTCTGCGTTTTTTTCAGCAGCCCCTGAATTCTCCCTAATGTTTTCCTATGTGTCCGTGTACACATCTTCGTTTACAGTCATTTACAGGCAGTTGAGTTTACAGTCTTTTTTTGAACACACCAAACTTGTGTTCAGGAGTAGATGTTACTGGCGTTTCAAACACCAAATGCTTGTAAATGCTGTCCAGAGCCTTTTTTCATCATCAGAAATGCATGCAAAGCGTTTTCCATGTATTCAACTGGACCCGGTACACCAGCGCAGTCAGTTCCAGGTTTCGCATGAAGGAAAAAAATGGTAGAACGTGCCGCATTATGTTCATGATGGGATCCATAGTGAATACAACCAGAAAAGACAGGTCATCTCAACACATGCTGCTCTCTCTCTTCCTCTCAAAATGTCTGAAATAGTTAATTTTTTACTGTTTTTCAGTGCATTCTGGGAATTTGGGAAGGTCTCCTGAGGTTATCTTTTAAAAAACGCTTCTAAACGCAAACGCACATAAACACGGTATGGAAATGCGGCTAAACAGACTTTTTTTAACCTACGTTTTCCAGCAGTCAGTTTCCATTGTTTAGAAGAGTTTTCCAAACGCCCCGTGTACATGAGCCCTTAATCTCAGATCTCTGAATTATAATCACAGAACTCTGACTTTGAAACTCAGAATGCTAGCTTTTCATTAACCACCTACCCTCCGGAACATTTTACTCCCTTCATGACCAGGCCATTTTTGGCTATTATTATATTTATTATTATTATTATACAGGATTTATATCGCGCCAACAGTTTACACAGCGCTTTACACTATATACGTAGGGGGACAGTACAATTACAATACAGTTCAATACAGGAGGATTAGGAGGGCCCGGCTCCTTGGAGTTTATAATCTAAAGGCTCTTTAGAACTGTGTTACATTAACTGACAATTGCGTGGTTTTCATACAGATCAAGCTTTCTTTTGGTGGTATTTGATCAACACTGTTTTTTTTATTTTGCATTATATAAACTTACTTTCTGCTATAAAACATATCCAATAATTTTTTTTTTTTAAATCAAATTCCTTTATAAATTTAGGCTAAAATGTATTCTGCTGCATAGTTTTGGTTAAAAACAATCCCAATAAGTCTACATTAATTGGTTTGCGTAAAAGTTAGAGTATCTACAAACTGGTATATATACTGGAATTTTTATTTATTTTCTTTTATACTAGTAATGGCAGTAATCATCAACTTATAGCGGGATTGTGATACTATGCCAGGCATTCTTGTGGGGACCAGTGACACTAATACAGTGATCAGTGCTAATAATATACACTGACACTGTACTAAGGACACTGGCTGGGAAGGGGTTAACATCTAGGTGCAATCAAAGAGTTAACTGTGTGCCTATCAGTGCTTGGTGTATTCACTGTGCTGTTTTTATTAAGGGATGTGCCAGTTTTTATTCCCTGATCTGCAGGGAAACAAAAACCAGCACATCCCCGTTAACAGGACAGAGCTCTGTGTTGTTTACATTTACTGAGCTCTGTCCTGTCTTCCTCTTCACCGATCAGCGGGTCCCAGCCGTCAATCATTGGCCAGGACCTGCTGATCAGGTTGTGCTCTGACTAATCACTGCACAGGTGGAAGGGCGTGCATGTGCGCTTCCTACCCAAGAGAGCTGGATCGCGTATTAGATACATGCTCCAAAGCAGGAGAGCCACTCTGCCACCCTACTCCTACGTGAGGTGGTCAGAAAGTGGTTGTAAACACATATGCCCAGTGAATTGACTAGCAATAAGTGATACACAGAGTATAAACAAATCCTCCTATATAAGTTGTAGCTGTGTATCTGCAGCCATTTCTTCTGTAGATTGTTCTGAAAACACAAAGATGAAAGGATTTCAATTTTAGCTCTAGCAGTAGGGATGGGGATCTGAAGTCTTCACAGAGCCACAGCCCTGAGCCCTGACTTCACAAACTCACACTTCACAGGAAGAACAAACACAGCTGTGGATATGAATCACAGACTGAGTGCTGCATCTGCCTCCCTGTCACCTTTTTAAATCTTGGAGTTGGGAAAAGCTGCCAGAAGAGATCCATACAGATAACAGAGGAACTGCAATGTATAGAAGGATGTGCTTTTTCAGATTTCATGACTGAGGTTTACAACCACTTTAAAGCGGAGTTCCACCCAAAAAAGGAAGTTCTGCTTTAAAGATTGGTCCCCGCTCCCCATTAAGGATTGGCACCTTTGGGAAGCGGGGGGGGGGGGGGGCAGGTACCCAAATTTGACAGGTACCCGCTCCCACATCCGCTGCGATCACCTAGGCGATTGGAAGCAGAAGTTGTCCTCCTGCCCTCCCTCCCCGAAGTCTTTGTGGGACACTTGACAGGTCCAAGAAGTCTACGGGGCCATTCAGGAAGCGCAGCACTACTCCCGCATGCGCAGTGGGCACCCGGCTGTGAAGCCGCAAGCTATCACAGCCGGGTGCCCACACTGAAGATGCCGGCCTCCTGGAATACAGGACGGCTGATGAAACGGCTGCGGCAGGGGAACTGTGGGATCGTGGGACAGGTGAGTGGCTGTTTTGTAAAAGCCAGTAGCTACAGTTTTTGTAGCTGCTGACTTTTATTTTTTTACAGAGTGAGTGGGACTCCACTTTAAAACAGAATTCTGGGATTATAAAATCAAAGTTTAATCTCAGAATTCTAATTCTCAAACTTGGAGTTTTGACTTTAAAACTCCAAGTTCTGAAATTAAATCACAGAAATTGTACTTTGAAACTCATAAATCTGACTTTAAGCATGACCTGTCACGGTTCACCTCCTTGGTCCAATTCATATGTGTAGTATGAGTTCTCCAGGCCAGGGAACAGTTAAGCATACCGTGCCAAGGACCTTTGGAAGAGGTGGTCCTGGGTATGGTTCACTTGTGGTCCAGTGCGCTTGTGCTGCAGAATAATGATTGCATCTGATAGTATGCAGTCACTGTTCAGCAGATAATTTTCCACCTGGCTGAGTTACATAGTTAGTCTGGCTGAGAAAGACAAAAGTCCATCCAGTTCAACCATAGAAAAAAAAACAAAAGTTATAATC